CAGCAGGCAGGCAGGCAGGCACTTAAGACTGTGAAGTCCCTGGGTTTTGGCTGCGTGTCCGGCAGGGGAGGAATTAGTGAGCAATGGTGTTGGGGGTGGGGGGCTGTGAAGACTGCAGGGGGTGTCCTCGAATTGAGGCCCTAGGCTTGAAAGGGGGAGTCATGGAACCCATGTGGATGTGTCCTCTGGGTCGAGCATTGTCCAAGTCAAGCCGTCCTGGGCCTGGAGTGGAAATGCTTGTTCTGCACCGAGATGCTGAGAAGGGCAGAGGAGAAACGCTGCTGCTTTGTAAGTAAGAGTGGTGATAGGGTCTTAGAGGTGGACCCACGAAAGCTAGAAGCCTGCTTCAGTTTTAGTTGTGTGCATAGTGCCCGGACACATTAAAATGGCATCATTCTCGGTGGAGGAATCTAATCAAGATTAATACCGGTATTTATTGCTGTTCTCTTTAAATAATAGTTGTATCTTGTTTAGCTCTTACAGCTCTTAATTTGAGCAACAGCAGTTGTATCTTTAGGTTAATATTATTATGACCTGACTTATTAATAATCTTTTGACTTCTGTTTGGGCGTGCGAGCGTCTTTGAAGCAAAAGAAAATAACTGCTATAAAAGTTCTAGGTCTGTGGAGCAAATGTCACGTTACAGACTTTTGAGAAATATCTACTGAGATGAGAATTTGGCTTGTGACTTTAATGCATAAAGTGTGTGAGAGTGACAGTGAGTATTCTGGTCCCCGGTCATGTTTTGTCCTCTGTTTTTAACCTGCAGGACGTGGTGGTTCGTCCGGTGCGAAGTTCCGCATCTCCCTGGGTCTCCCTGTGGGAGCTGTGATTAACTGTGCAGATAATACAGGTGAGGCAGTTCATCCAGCACTTCTCTCCCCATTGGGCATCATTTCTTTTTGTTAAGATCTGATTAAGAGACCAGTGGTCAGAAACTGAAGTCAGAAATATTTCTGGAAACAAGGTGCAAGTCTTAAGGTGATTAGCCCTTGGAAGATCTTATAGTGGATTCTCCACATAGTCTTTAAAGCAAGCTTGGATTGATTTCTAAAAGATGTTCGAGCTCAAAAATGAAACTACAGGTGTGATTTTTTTTTTTTTTTCTCATCTAATTATCCAAAAAATCTGATTTGATGATTAGAATGGGTCCATCTGCCCTTGAATACTGTGAACCCCTTAACCTGCTTCAGCAAATATTCAACTTGCTGCTCAATAACAAGGCCAAGAATTTCTATCCGGTCTCTGAAGCAGTTGCATCTCCCTTCTTAAAGCACTTGCTGGGTCTTTGTTCAGTGGCTCAGGGAGTTGTCGTGGAAGGGAATAGAAAGACATCGCTTTTGGGTGAAGTGGCAGCCTGTGCTGTTAACTTCAATCAGTGGTGTGACAAAAGTCTCCAGGCTCTTCTGTAGTGGGTTGGCTAATGCAAAGGGTTTCTTTTTATTTCCTCTGTAGGTGCCAAGAACCTCTACATTATCTCTGTGAAGGGGATTAAGGGACGTCTGAACAGACTGCCAGCTGCTGGTGTAGGTGACATGGTTATGGCTACAGTCAAGAAGGGCAAGCCTGAGCTCAGGAAGAAGGGTGAGTCTTGTCGGGGAACAGGTTGTGAGTTTGTCTGGTGTATACAAGGGCATTCTAATAGAATTGGTAGTGAGTTGATAGTGTGGGTAGTTCTAGGCATAGGTTGTCTGCACAGAGTGGAAAATCCTGCCTCTGAGCCATAGGATATCCCAGAAAGCATTGTTCCACATGCTGATGCTTTGCTCTGCCTGGCTGCTCCAACCATGGAAGGGTACTTTATTGTCCAGGTGCCTAGAAGGTACCAGTGAGAACACTTTTTAGGTAAGGTTGACAATATGGTCCGGACACAACTTTGTTATGTTACACCAGCAAAAATGAATGCTCAGTGATTATAAAATACAGTTTTGCATGTTGTAAAATTGTAACTGCAGAGATCATGACACTACAGCTGGTGCCCAAAACACAACCAGGATTCATGTCAGCGCTTCATCTCATCAGGCCTCCTGACATTGATCCTCTTGGTGCATTGTAGACTGACCTTCATGTATAGGATAGAAAGCCAGTTCTTACAGGAGGAGCAGAGCATACTCTTTAAGAGAGATGGGAACTAGGCACCCAACAGCATCTCCCCCTTCTGAAAAGCACTTGCTGGGTCTGTGCTCAGTGGCTCAGGGAGTTGTCGTGGAAGGGTATAGCAAAGGCATTGCTCTTGGGTGAAGTGGCAGCAGCATGTGCTGTTAACTTCAATCAGTGGTGCGACAGTCTTGATGGTTCCCATTTCAGATGTCCTTGGTAAATAGTAGCATGCTAGGTTTTCTTGTTGAATACTATGCTGAGACCTTGCATTTGGTAATGGAGCTGATTTTACCTTAGAGGCTCTCTAGACTGCTGGCTTAAAATATGAGGATAGTAAAGTGCTCATGTAGATTCAAAGGTAACGTTGCTTTGAGCTAGTTTATTTTGAAAAATACATTTTAAGCTGCATGCTTCCCTCTGCATTGTACAGAGAAAGAAAGCCTGCTCCTCTGATGTGTACTTAGCTGCTCTAAAACTAAATAGCAAGGGCTTGTAATCGGTGTATCTGTACAAAACTGTTCAGGATGAAAACCTGCTTTAAATGCATGTTGTAGTACCAGCAAAGGATATTGCATTGAGAGCCTAGAGGAGTCTAGGCTGTTCTGGATTCAAGGCTGCCAAAGATGATGTTGGCTCTGGTCTTTGTGACATCAGTGCTTGGTGATATCATAAATGTCTTTTGACACTGATGATTTTGTCAGCTAGCACTAAATGGGCACCCTGAATTAATACAAAATGCCACTTGCTATCCAATTGCTTATTTAAATGTAGGGAGAACAGGACCTACATAGAAGCATTTAACTTGGTATGCCAGTAGTTGGTACCTGGGTGTGGGGACTGTACCTGAAAGGTTGGGATTCTGAATTTATTTTTTCTCTCCGCAGTGCATCCAGCAGTGGTAATTCGGCAACGGAAATCATACCGGAGAAAAGACGGGGTGTTTTTATATTTTGAAGATAATGCAGGAGTAATAGTAAATAACAAAGGAGAAATGAAAGGTATGGATGACAGTCTGATCGTGCTGGACAAAGATGTGTGTTCTTCTCTCAGAAGGCAAAAGAGCCCACACTTTCTTACAAGTCAGAGGCACTGTACTGGGAGAATCTGGTATCCCAGTTGCTTCAGCAGTGAAAGAGCAGAGAGCCATCAATATTAATAGTGCTTGAACAGCACTCTGAGCAAAGCCGTCATGGTAGTGTAGAATTTGCATGTTTGCTGTTTCTAATTCCTAACATTTTTTTTTCCTTCTTTTTTCCTCTTGTTTTTTCCCAGGTTCTGCCATCACAGGCCCGGTGGCAAAGGAGTGCGCAGATTTGTGGCCCAGGATAGCCTCCAATGCAGGCAGCATTGCCTAAACCTGTTCCATCCTCTGTGTAGCTTGACAATAAAACTGGTTGTACCAAAATTGCTTGTCTGTGGTATTGTGAAGCTCAAAACACTCCCTCTGCTGTCAGACTGGGTTGAGATGCATCTGACCAAGGACTTGTGGGTGTGGGGGTGGTCTGTCATTGTAGACTTCAACACAGGAGGTTGCTCCTAATTTTTTTTTTACGTGGGTTTTCTTTTAATTGGCTTATAATTCTTCTCAACCCACAAAATAAACCATAAAACGTCTCTCTGTGTGCATAAGGGAGTTGCACTGGTACCTGTGAATACATTCAAATTTTAAGTTTTGCCAGTATTACTTCCTAGGTGGATAATGGCTGAGACTGAGTCATGTCTAAGTGACAGATTTTCAAGAAATGACCTGTTCCAGAATAACTTTAGCTCTGCAGTTCTGTAAATTGGACATTGTAGACAGAGGTGACCCAAGCAGGGTGCGGGCCCCTGCCCCCAGATGCAAGGAAGCCAGTGGCAGATTGGGCACTGCCCAGCTCTGCAGGGGCCCCCAAAGCGCAGGGTCCTGGGATGGTCGCCCTGATATGCCCCCCCAAGGGACAGCCCTGGTTGTAGATCACTGGCCACCAACCAGTGGATCTCAATCCACAGGTAGATCTTGGAGTTGATCTGAAGTTGGGGTGGGAGGGCTGAGTGCCTACATGCATTCACATGTGTGCCCAGTCCAGCAGGTCAGTCCATGGGGGAGGGAAGAGGTGGGGGGCTAGATGGAGGCCCCTGCGGTGAGGGACAGTGCCACAGAGGCAGGAGCAGGGTTAAGTTGAGTGGGGCCCCAGCTGGGTGGGACTTGCCTGCTGGGGAGGTGTGCCATCAAATATTTTTTTTCCCCCTCTGCCTTGATCTGTACCCTGCTTTCCTCCCCACAGACTTACCTGCTGGGGGAGATGGGGGATGGCAGCAGTGCATGGTAGATCTTGGTTTGCTTCTAAATTCCAAAGGTGATCTACTTAAAAAGGTTGGAGACTGCTATTGTGGATGCTGTGCAATGCCAGACCGGTTTCATAAGAAAAGCATAGAGTGTGAACCACAGTATCAATTGTTTGTTTTTTCTATGCAATAAGATTGTGGAAACATCTTATTAATTGAGGCCTTACAAGGACACAGCAAAACCCATTCCTGTTTGAGGTGTTAGGTGCAGCCTATCCTACCAATTTCTCAGTGATAAAACAGCCATATGGTAGACTAAAAATGTTTTATCTGCCAAAAGTGATGCAGCATCACAGATTTGTTACAGACTTCAATCAAAAATAGTTCAAAGAGAAAATGAAGGGCTGCACCATCCAGTGTAAAAAGCTCCTGCAAAAACTGCTGGTATAAGCTCCTAAATTTGTGCTAAGAGCTGTTATGTGGGTGTATGGTATTCCCAACCCTTTATAACCTAAACATGAGCTGTTTTAGGGCTGGAAATGGGAATTGTAAATCTATTCCAATGTGTTTTTGAACTAGTAGCCAGGTGGGGGGATGGGTCTTATATTGTGACTACTAATGTGGATACACTTCTCTCAAATAATAAATGGCTTGTATTCCCATGCCTGACTCCCTGCTGCAAGAAGCACACTTTAGGTTGGTATGTTTTAACTACAGCTACCCTGTGGGGGATGGAGGTTATGTTGCCATAACTAAACTCAATAAAACCATAAAAGGGGTTGCTTGCATTCCTGTTTGTGCCCACATGAGGGTTATATTGTTCTCTGTGTTACTAAGCTCATCTTCGTCTTCACCACAGTCTGTGTGGGGGTCTATGAGTCCTGTTGTAAGATTTAAATAGCGCCAGGTTGAGCTGAGTACAGGTGTAGCTGTAAATCTACAGTCCAGATGTCTTTGAAACCAGGACTGATGAAAGGCCAGGGTTCATCATTTCAGAGATTCAGCCCTTGTCCTATCTATTTCCTAATGCAGCGTTTTGCTGTTCTCCCAGCCAGGTCTTGAAGTACATCTCTGATGTTTCTTTGTCATCTGGGCTTCTCTAGGCTAAAACTGGCCTGAGCAGCCTCAGCCATGGCAACTCGAGCACTTCACTACTTTATAACCTGCAGGGTTTAAAGCGCTTTCATAATAACCAACTGCTTTGAGAGAGACTTTTCCTAGTAAAAATGATGAAGTTGCCTCTTTGAAGATTGTGCTATACATAAGACTTCTGGGTAGTTTAAAGTGTGAGAGACCAATTTTCAAATGACCTGTGCATCTGGTCTGGAGCAGCTAGGCTGGAGTAGCCTGATGGTGATCCCCTGCAGACTGCGACTGTGAATCCAGTTTTTAACCAGCTGGGTGCTTGCAAAGGCTGAATCCATCAATGAGCAAGGAGAGCTCAGGGGCAACCTTGCTCTGTGCCCTAGAGAACTGTGATGCCTGGTAGATCAGCAGGGATCCTGGTTTTCTCTGATTGAACAAAAAAGCCCCAATTTTCGTTTAAAAAAAGTAAACCCAAATCCACATTTTTCCATTATTAAAATGAAACACATATACACATATATTAGTGGTGTTTCACTAATGTGCGTGTGTGGTGTTTTATGTTAATCATGGAAAGATGTTGATTTGGTTTTGCCAGTATAACAATACACTTTTGCCAGTATATATATATTAATGGTGTTTCATTTAAATCGCGGAACATGTGGATTTATTTGGGGTTACTTTTTTTTAAAACCGAAAACATTTCAATCGGACAAAACCAGGATCTCTGCAGATCAGTGTGCCATTCCCTCCCGCTTTGTAACGATCCGCTCCGCTGCCCCTCTCTCCTGCCCCGAGGCCGTGGGTTTTGTGATTGATTTTGGTGAATGGGCTCTGATTAGATGCAAGCCGAGCCAGCTCCAGGGGGGAGGCCGCTGGCAAGGCAAGGCAAGGGCTGCGCTTTCCTTCCGCCGACCGGCAGCGGCTGAGTGCTGCCCCCGCCCAAACCTCCGCCCCGGCTGTTGCCCATCCAGCGCCTCTTTGTAGCGTGGGGGCCGGGCTCGCACGCAACAATGCGGGCGGCAGAGGGGGCAGGAGATGCCCCGGGCGCCGGGGGCAGACGGAGCCGGTGTGGCACGGGGTTGGCAGTGCAGTGTCTGCTCCCTTGGCACGGATGGCTTCCTTCGCTCGCGGGCCCCTGCGGCGCGAGAGAGACTTCGTTCTGGACGGGGTGGCGGTGGGCAGCATCGCCGGCGGCTACACGCGGAAGCTGCCCAAGCTGTGGTCCGCTGTGCCCCCTTACAACGCCCAGCTGGACTACCACGCTGCCAACTACTTCGCATCCCCTTCTGTTAAGGCGGTGCTGCGGAAAACGGAGCAGGTAGGGTGCGAGATGTCACATCTGGGCAGCTCCAGCTGCTCTCTGCTTCCAGACTGCAAGCAGTAAGGACCCCTGGGGTCCCTGCTGTCCCTGCGCTTCCCAAGTTTGGCAGGGCTCTGTAGCCAGGCGGGGGGCAAATAGCTCCTTGGAGCAGGTTTGATGGCTGCAGAGCTGGCATAGACGGTGAGGGTTGGCTAGTTGGATCTTAAAAGCCTGGACCTCATGATCTGTAAGGTGCCTTCCAGCCCTTCACAACGATGAAACTCTATGAGTGTCGACAACCAATCTGAAGAAACACAAAACAGCCTGGGTCGCATTCAAGCAGCGAAATGGGTTGCCTTTAAGCAGCAAAAAGTCTGTAGCCAAGCTTGCCCATAGCAGCATGGCAATGGGAGAGGCACAGACAAACCAACTGACCTTCGTCTTCAAAATAATGCAGTTGCTAACACGTTGATTTCAAAATTGCAGATTTTAGTCGAGTAACAGGCATTTTCTTTCCCTTGTCTCCTGCTGTGTCTGGTCTTCAGAGAATAAGATGGTAATCATTCAGGTGATAGTGAACAGTGATCTGCTTTCCAGCAGCTTCACACCCTTCCTTTGAACAGTATGGTCGTTGAAAATTTAAAGCTCCTTTAATTTTGCTCCTAAATTAGGTGGACTCTGTATGAAGAGGACAAATTCTGAAAAAAAGGTCTTGGTTCTTCATTTATCTAGTCTTCTCTGTATTAATATTAGGACTGAAATGTGTGTGGTTTTTTATTATTTTTGTCAAAAAGAAATCTGATACATTTTAAGAAATATTTACTGGCCAAATTTTATAACTGGACAAGATCTGTCTGCATAGATAAGTGACCTACAGCTATTGATGCTTTTTGTACCCCCACCAAAAAGTCAGTGCTACCCACTCAGGGATGAAGTTGGAATAATGAAGAATGATGCTGATTTAGACTGTCTTGTTACTGATATTTATTCTTCTCAGTTTATTAATTAAAATCTCACAGATCCTTCACAGAAAGCTTTTTGAAATAATTATCCTTAGCCCATCTATAGATGTATTCAGGTGCTAATCCTGCAACATTTAGGTATGGGTTAATCTCATACACGTGAGAGCATCATATGCATGAAAATGGGCATTTACATATTCTCTTTGTGACATGAATGTGATGCTTCGCTTTTACATGTTGCATAAGTGCCAAACATTGCTGTGCTTAATAAATAATATAGGCTTCCATTAATATTGACCCTGGAAGCTGTATGAGAGGTTTCAGACTTCTACTGTTGTCTGTGCCAGCAGGGTCCAGCATTTTTCAGAGAGCTGTACACAGTGTCAGTGCCAGAGAGGATTCTGGTCAGGTCAGGAAAGGAAACAATGCAGAATCTGGTTCCTTACAGATAGCAAACAAGGCAAAATAGGAGCTATCATGATACAATTATTAATATATCTTGCATGGCAGCTGATTCTGCAGTTCTGCATCCTGTGAGGATGCTTATGCAACAAGGAGCCTGTTTTCTGAAACATTTTCCTTTCTAACCTGGATGTCTGATGAAGTGTATAATCAGTGGCGTAGGACTGATGTTGTAACCATAATGGGCTTGAAAATATGCAAGAGGAAAGGATTTTTTTATTATATCTTTTTTTGCATCAACTGTGTAGGTGGGATAAGTCCAAAGGTAGTGCTGTGCTACCATGCACTAGCAGGCATCTTCAAAGATAGACCCATTTCCTAACACCATTTCTAGATTAGCCAAAGCTGATGAGAGTTTAGCTAGCCATGTTAGGATCTGCAAATGAAGTGAAACCTAGTGTTGCTCTGAATGTTTGTTCTTTCTTTTGTTAACCACAGCAGTATGGTGGCACATCTAGGGATGGCTGGATAGTGGACTATTTCCACACCTATGGGCCAGGGCAGAGATACCTGAACAGGAGAAACTGGGCTGGTGCAGGTAAGAGTCCCTTCCATACCTTGGCACAACTCCCTCATACAGCATTTCTTCCAACTGTGCCTAAACTTCTCTAAACTTAGGGGTGTACTTGGTAGCCGTGTTGATCTGAGACAAGAAGACATATAAAAAACTAGAACTCTTGGTTCCAAAATGATACCTTTTTATTAATAAAAGGTATCATTTTGGAACCAAGAGTTGTATGTTTTTAAACTCAGTGTCTCAGCCCCCATCACCTTAGGTCAAATCAATGCATTAAAATGTGTTCCCAGTAGCCCCTGGCTTGTCCTGGTAAGTGGAGCTAACTAGGTGTTAAGTACCAGTGTAGTATTTTGCCATTTCCTTAGTGTAAAATGCTCCTCAATTTCCATGTGTCTTGTATAATAGTCCTATTTTACTCTGGAAGCTGGGTTAGCCACTGAAAAAGAGACTCTTAGTAATGAAACTCTGCAAAGAGTGGACTTTTTAGTTTGTCAGTTCTCAAAAACACACAACAACAATAATAACAATGATGTTAAAATTCAGTTTTACCCAAACTGTAATCTTAAAAAAAAGATGAATCAGAAATTCAAGGAAAAAAGCATTTTATGTTGAATGAGGAATTCTGTTTGATCCCAAACAAAAGCTTTTTATTGATATTTGTGCAAGGCTTTTGGCTTTTATCAAGATTAGTTTTCAAGACATTTAAAAGTAATAAAAAGTAATTTAAAAGAAAAGGCCATTTTTTAAATTACAAAAAAAAATCAAAATGTTTAATTTGAAAAATGTCACCAGAAAATAAATTGACATTTGAGATGGTGCCTCTCTCTCTCAATCTCACTCGCACTTGCACAAAATTTGCCGCTCCCAACATGAATTGGCAAATGTTTTGGTTTTACTGTGTCTACATTTTTTTGCCAAAAAAGGGCATTTATTCCAATTTTCCATCCAACTCTGGTTACTGTGAGCTTCCTCCATAGTTGCTGACTGGAGGGAGTAGTTTCAAAGGAAATTGACATGGCCAACTCCCTTCTCCACAGGCCATTCTATTGAGTACGTGAGTGGCCACGATGGTTACCTGGCAGATGTGAAACCACCGAGAGGGTACAACGGACGCTTTGGCTATCGTCGTAACACCCCTGATCTGCGGAAGAAGTCATCCTGCTTTGGTGAAGTCACTATTTTCCCGCTCCACTGAGGATGTAGCAGCTGCTCTGCATATGCCATTGATATTAGCCCCTTGGGGCACAACAGAGTTCTGGAGAGAGCTCATTAGGAGTAGGATTTTAAAATAAAATGTAGTTATTGTTTGTTCTATTTTTAACATCTGGCTGTTATGGGTCATTTATTTGTCTACAATATGATCTACTGATGGAGCATCTGGGCTCCTCTTCTACCAACCACTCTGGACTGAGGCAGAAGGGTGCTGCATAATTAGTTATAGGTCATGCCCCTCACGTTTAAAAAATAATTAGTTTTTCTTTCTTCCTCGGTGGAATGTGATGATACCTGACATGCTCATTGTCTCATTTCCTGTCTGTATACAAGCTTAGATAGCAAATTCTCTGTATGTGTTCGTAAAATTTTGTGGGTAGAGACCCAGGCAAAGGAGGCACCTAATAGTTTTATAGTAGGCAGAGGATGCTAGGGCCTTTAATCTGAGCAGCGTGTGGGCTGGATCTGGCCTGTAGATAGATAGATAGATAGATACACACCATTTAGCATATCATTCTTCCCAAACCTTAACCCATTTTCAAAACCTTGCATCCATACCAAAGTTCTCACATCCACACACCCATTACAATGATTGCACCTGTACTCCTGCACACTGGTCCACATTCCTTTCCTGGTTATATTTACAATGTCCCTTGTGTTTTATCTCTAATTAGAAGCTTTAAGCCCTTGGTTCATAGCACTGCTGCTGGTGGTTCCACTGCTGCTGTCCTGATCGTTGTCACTTGACCCAGTTGACTTGTGGTCTCCTTCACTGTCACTGTTCACTTCCCCTTGAGGGGAAACTTTGAAAAGCCTGTGCTTTGAAAAGCCTGTCCCTCTGCCAGGTGGGTGTTGGCTGCCTCCTCTCCTACTATTTTCTGGTGGTAGGACTAGAGCGCACTCATTTTAGCTGTCTGCTACCATTTTAATGCAGTCTGCTACTTCAATTTCTGTGTGCCTGTATGTCAGGAGGTTCTGGGCCTGCAGAGCTGCTCCATCCAGACCACTGGGCTACTAGTGTATTAGGGAATTTGGGGTGTAGCTAGGGTGAAAGTGGGGCCTGCCTGAAAGGTGGGGCCTGCTCTGAAGGTTGAGTATGGGACCCTTAAGTGCTTGTAAGTTTGGGCATTGATAGCAGGAGAGTGAGGGTTGTGCTGACAGAGCCCTGCTCACCCTGTGGATAATTGGCATGTTGCCATCACTGCCTCAAGTAGCTACTTACCCAAGCACCTCCACTGCCAGCCCTGGAGTTACTGCCACCAGCCCCGTGCCAAATTATTGCCACCACCATGCCTGGGATGGGTTCCACTGCTGTCATGAGTCCTGGGCCAAGGATCCTATGGTTCAGATCTGTGCTGGGGTAGGCTGAGAGTTTGAAACCTTTCTGAGTTAGAGGAAGGTAACATCTCTACCACTGGAGTGGTACAAAATTCTTCTATGAGGGATTTCTTTTTTTTTTTCTCTCTCTCCAATACCCCCTTTTGACCAGTTTAGTAAGTAGCCCTGGCAGGCTTTGGACTGAGCCATACACCAGCCAGATTCATCTGGAAGCAGGTGTGGGAGCAGTACAGGAAAGATTATCAAGACTGGCCCAAAAGATCCCTCCAATCTAGTTTAATCTAGCAGGGAGGTCTAGTTTCACTTGGGGCACCCTAGTCTCAGGTTACCTATCAATGTGCTGAGATTCAAAGGCTGGTTTCTAATATATGTTTTGCAAAGTTGGGCAAGACTGTAATAGGGTGTGCTCTGCATTATGGGTGTTACGACCATGTGTGTTATGTGCAAATAAGCCCTTGGATTATGTTGGTTTTATGGAAACATTTGGGAATGAGGGATCTTCTGCTAAAGACAGTGCTTCGCTGGAATGAGCAACAACAACCACCTAAGACATGGTTTGAGCATGCCATGATAAAACAGCAGCAACTGATCTATGCTGGTAATCCCACCTGCAAAATTCTTAGTGAAGCCATGAGTCCACTTGAACCTAGTGACCCTTTAGCATTAAGGCATGCCAATTTCTGTAGCCAAGGGAATGACCTAGCTAGCATCATGTCTGACCAACTTTGGATCTCTGGTCTGAATGGCCAAGAACCCATTTACAGTTGGTATGTTTTTGATGCTCTGGATTCCTATTGGATGTCTCCAGGTTTAACTTGTGAATCATGTATAGGTATCTGTACACCAAACACTGCTAATATTGCATGGCATGCTTGAAAGGACCTGTTGCCCTTGTTGGAAAAATACTGCTTTAACTGCTCTGTCATCCTGCTCCTTGTGGGGCTGAGACTGTTGATCATAAATATTATGAAGAAAAATATCTAGTATAAGCATAGGATAAGGAACCTGAAGTTCCCAGTCAACAAGAAAATAAAACAGCTTTTACTGCCAACTACAGAACTGGCAGACAGAGAAAAGGATCTGTTGCTTTGCTGGACTGGTACAAAGACCTCCTGGCAGGAGACCTCAGTCATGTTTTGGGTTCTGATCTTGCAGATTTTGTTTTTGGAAAAATATCTATCTATCTATATGGTTATATATATCTACACTCTGAGTATCACCCCACAAAGAAAAAACGTAACCCGTTACAAAAACTGCACCCACACAGTCCAAACACCTAGACAAAGGCTCACTGGCCACCTGAATCTGTTACAATATTCGCACTGCACACACCACACACCCAAACTCTGGTCCCTCAGACCAGGCAACCCCTTCCTTTCATCCCCACCCCACTTGCAGGGTCACAAACTCAGTTCACTTGTTGTCTGTGTCGCTGTTGCTTCAGCTTCCACTGGAGGGCCCACTGCTGCTGTCGCTGTCCTCAGCTTCATTTGTCTTTTCCTCTTCCTCACTGTCACCGCCGCCTTCCCTGCTAGGGGGGAATTGGAAGATCCTGTGCCATCATGAACAACTGGTGCCTCCTGAGACTCGTGGGGGGGGCACAATGTGTGGGCAGCAGCATTGGCGGCAGAGGGCGAGTGGCAACTGCCCACAGAAGCTGGTGGCAGCATTGGCGGTGGTGAGCGGCAACCACCTGCACAAGCTGGTGATGGCATTGATGGCAGGAAGCAGGATGGCGAGTGGCGATTGCCCACAGAAGCCTGCAGTGGCAGCAGCGGTGGTGGTCAATCTTGGCTGGGGGGAACGTGCCCCCCTGTGCCCCCTTTACGTGTCGCCTATGCGTGCCACATGTCTCTGTGCCAGGTGGGTTTGGGCATGTCCTCTCCATCCTCTACTACTGATTTCTGGTAGTAGGTCTGGAGTTTGCTCAGAGCCATTTTCACATAGCCTACCACCTCTACATCCATGTGCCTGTAGATCAGGAAGTTACTGGCTTTCCACGGGGTGTTCCTGATGCAGAACGCAAACTGGTTGAAATGGGCCAACGGGTTCCCCTGGTGTTTGGTGAGGTGCCCATATAGTGCTGCTTCTCTGGTTAGCCGGCTGGTGCCAGTCACCACTTCACAGCTCTGTTGGCTTTGTTAGGGCTTTGTGTGGGGCAGAGGTTCTCAAGCTCATTATACTTAAGGCACTCCTTGGAAAATGCCAGTTCTTAATTTTAACAATAATAGAGCAATCCTTCTGTTGCATTAGGTTAGAATGCTTATAATACAATTAACTCCCTTTTGAAATCTCTCGCTGCATCCAGATGAGTGCAGACGTTTGGTTCCCAAGGGACAACTAGCAGCAGTACATCTTGTGCTGCTGCTAGTTGCCCCCAGGAAACGCCTGTGCCACATGCCCTCTGGCATGTGGCAGGTTACCCCAGGTGAGGTAGGTGAGGCGGGGCCCAGCAACTGTGCTGGCCCCAACAGCCTTACCTGGGGTTCTGGGGGCCGGGGAAGCTGCAGCCGTGGTGCTCCTGCATCTGGGAGCCTGGCTGGCAGCTGGAGTATGGCTTCAGCTGGCCAGGCTCTGTTTTTGGGTGCCATGCACTGCCTCCACATGCACTGCCCTGCTTTTTTCTGCATGGGTTTTTTTGACCCCAGGATCTCCCAGCATCAAACCCCCCATGCTGCAAGGTAGCAGTGAAGAAAATGCCTGAATGTGCAGTGTGTGGTGCTGCAGATAGGTCTACGGCACCACAGATTGCAAGGCTGTGCCCATCTGCATAGGCACGTGCACCCCCTGACTGTGGTGGTGCATCCACTGTGAAAAGGTGCTGCCAACACTGTCGGCAGGACCTCTGGGCAGTCACCGCTCATCACACCCTGCTTGCCATTGGCAATGTCTGTGAGTGGTCACTGATCGCCACTGGCCACCGCTGCTGGCAGCTTCTGCAGGTGGTCGTTGACCGCCGGTCAGTGGTCGCCACTGCCCCCACCCCCCGCCAACAGCGCTGCAGCTACCTGCAGCAGCTCTCCACTTGCCTCCACCACGCTCCCGCCATCAACAGCATTGCCGCCGCCTGTGAGAGCTTGCCATGCCTTCCCAGCCTCCAGGGGCATGCAGCGTTCATGCCCATCTGGACAAGGCCTCTGGGTTCATCTTGAGGATCATGCATAGGTGTTTGCACACCTAACAGTGCTAATATTCTACAGCACCTCATGGCACTCTTAAAAGGATTTTGTGGCACCTTATTCAAGAATCACTAGTGTAGATTGATGTAGTTGCAGGCTCAGCCTCTGGAATTAGAGCTGAAAGAAACAAACTGGATTTAACTATAAAGCCTGGGGCAGATGGAGGGGAAACAGTGGTGCAGTTGCACTCTCCCCGCCCCCGCTTGTTTCCTGCTGTAGCCAAACTTTAAAACCAGCTGCCTGGGAGTGGCATTTCTATTCAGGCAGTGTGGAGTGTCAGTGAATTCATGTTTTATTATTGTCTCCCTGATTCCTCTTAATCTCTCTCCACTCTACAAATTTTAACAATTTTCTCTCCTTCGTAATGGTCTTGATGTTTCACTTTTCAAACTAGCCTTTCTTCTGCAGTTTGTCTTTCTGTTAACCATTCCTGGTAATGTCTGTCTTCTGTTTCACAGCCCTGCAGACTGTTTTCAGCTTTAGCTAAAAATCTGAAGTGAGGTGTGGTGATATTAGCTCAGGTGTAAAAATGATT